GGTTTTTTTTGGGCAAAAAAAAGGCGTTTTTGGCTCTTACCGGCGCGTGGCTTCAAGAGTTAGCACAAGTTCTGAAAGATTGGCGGCCCCATCAAACATACACTGCGACCCCTGCACATCACATTTCAGAGTCATAAAACACAGGTCAAAAGGCACCAAACCGCTAATAAATCGCTTTAAAAAATTTTAAAAAAATGGTAAAAATTGATATTTTTGGGGAGTTTTGCCGAAAATTGGGAGTTTTTTGGTGTTTTTTTGTGCTCCTGAGGTGTGCCGCGCTGTGGTGTGGCTCTCTCTCTCCCGTGTGCGTGTCTCCTCTGTCAAGAAACTCAATGTGAGCCCCCCAAAAATGATCAAAATTGGTCAAAAAGTCAAAAATAGCGCCTTTTTAGAGGCGGGGGGCTGGTTGTGGTGTTGTTTTGAGGTGTTTTTGGGGGTTTTTTGATGGTGTTTTTTTTTTTTTGCCTTTCCTTGGGTTGTGCTTTTGTTCTCCTCTCGGTGCTGATGTGGTGGTGGTGGTGGCAGGTGAAACGGCGTGAAAAAAACCCAAAATTAAGCAAAAATTGAAAAAAAAACAAAAAAAAAAGAGAAAAGGCGAAAAATTTAAAGAAAAACAAGCCTTTTTTTTTTTAGTTTTTTTCTTCCAAACCCCCCAAAAAAAACGGGGAGGAATCCCCGAAAGTCTTGCAAACGCCGCGCTCTTTTCTAAAAAATGTTAACAAATGTCAAAAAAATAAGAAAAAAATGCTGCTTTGTGGATGTTTTTTTGGTGTTTTTTGCTTTTTTGGTGAAAACGACCCCAAAAAAAGCCCAAAAAAGGCTCAAAAGTGGAGAAATTTATCTGCTGTGGGAAGTGCTGCGTCTCGTGTCTCTCTCTGCGCCGGAGATAAATCCTCGGTGTTGTTTCCTTTTTGTTTGTTTTTTTTTTTTTTCTGGCTGTTGCATGTTTTTTGGTGTTTTTTGGTGTTTTTTTCTCTCTCTCTCTCTCTCTTTGTTTCCGAGTGAAATGAGAAGTTTTTGGTGTTTTTTTGTTTGTTTTTTTTTTTTTTCTGGCTGTTGCATGTTTTTTGGTGTTTTTTGGTGTTTTTTTCTCTCTCTCTCTCTCTCTTTGTTTCCGAGTGAAATGAGAAGTTTTTGGTGTTTTTTTGTTTTTTTTTTTTTTTTTTGGTTTCTAAGCCTTTTGTGTGGTGTGAGGGACGTTCGGCCGACGGTCCCCCCATGAAAAAAAAACTGCTTGAAGTTGCCAAAGTCCCACGTTTTCGCGTATAAAAAAATGTAAAAAAAACACAAAACACACCCC